CACCTAAAAATACTAAAACTACTTTTAAAATATTTACCGACATTTTATTTTGATTAGAAAGTTTGTTCTTTCTTCTACAGTTTAACCATAAATGTATCTGTTGTTGGAAGAAATAATTTCATCAACCACAAAGCACTCGGCCCGGCATGGCCAAGTGGTTAGGGCGCTCGACTCGCAATCCGAGGGTCGTGGGTTCGAATCCCCGTCACACCAAACATGCTCGTCCTTTCAGCCGTGGGGGCGTTATAATGTGAAGGTCAATCCCACTATTCGTTGGTAAAAGAGTAGCCCAAAAGTTGGCGGTGGGTGGTGATGACTAGCTGCCTTCCCTCTAGTCTAACACTGCTAAATTAGGGACGGCTAGCGCATATAGCCCTCGTGTAGCTTTGCGCGAAATTCAAAAACAAACAAACAAAGCACTCATGATTACTTGTTCTTCAATGATGTAGACTGGCGGCAATAAAGATAATTTCGAACACTTCCCAACTGTAATTTATTTACCTACTTTGTAACTTCGGGTAATCCAACACCTTGTTTTGTTTACTGACATACGTTCTCGTGCTCTAGGGTTAACTTAGGAAATATTGATTAATAATTTAAATCCATAGTGTATAGTCAGCCAGACACTGGCTTCAGCGATACAATCGAAATCTGTGCATAATATCAGTAAATTTTTTACTTATCAGTCGAGACCTGTAATTTGTAAAAACTAAACCAATTCGATAACCCAAGTGCTTTTGTTGAATATCAGATTTTAACCTTGTATGCTTATCACGTTTCAACAGAAAATAAAACGTTCATTTCAATTGGTATACACACACACATATATTATATATACAAAAACTGCGGAGTGAAAATTGTTTCCCTATTTACTCTCTCTCTCACACACACACACAAGGGAAATAGTTGATTTACGCTAAAAATCGAGGCCATCTGCAGCCACTTTTAGATCACGTACTTTATTCATACTTTGGATGATTTCACCAAAGAGAAACGTAAATGCTTCTCGGAACCCCATCATTAGACGAACGCAACAACAAACAAGCAACTTCAAGTCACCTGAAACCCGTTGCCAATCACTTTAGTACAGCAAACGTGTAATTTAAGCAAGATGGTCCACTCGCGCTACCAACACATGCACGCATGATTGGCGGTTATAACAGGGAAAGACTATACAGTTAAAAGAACTTCCAAGAAGAACTTTCAGATGTAGGCAGGTTTAGGTTCCACGCGTTCCTAAACATATGACACAGTGGTATCGAATTACTTCGAAACTTATAACACTACTGCCAAGCTACCTACAACAAAACACGAAGAATACATTATGATCACCTAAACAGTTTAAAGCTAGTCTGTAATTTAATAGTAAGAAATTAGTGAAGTCGCTCAGTAACCCTAGTTACTACAGAAAAAAAAAAGCAAAGACCTGGAAACCGGGCAAAGTAAAATAAAAACGCTCTCAAACGTGATTAAACCACGTGCTTCTGGTCTGTGCACTTTAAATATAAAAAATCTGTACATAACTAACTACTTTCTAATATAATTTCAAACGGATATTTATGAATCCTATATATATATATTACTATTCATGTTTGCCTGTATAATTTATTTTTTACCTTGCTTTATGATAAATATGAAGAAAGTTCGTCTAGTGCTTGTGATATGTCAATAACAGGTAGTTTACTTGTAAAGTTCTAAAACACGCTATTTTCCAGGAGAAAACCAAAATTACTCGTAAAACGAAATGGCACAATACGAGTTAGGTTATAACTTAGGTAAAAACAAAGTAATTAGGTAAAAACAAAAAATCGGATTGTAATTTGTAAATTAAAATTATTTTCTCGTATGCCTCGTGTTGAAAACGTGGTAAAATATGTATTCGAAATTAAATACAAAATAATTTCCACAGTAAGTGGAAATAAAAACATTACACTGGTGAGAGCGCATGACAAATCGATACACATATGGCGATTAATTAACCTAATCAAAAATGCCTTAGGTGTGAAAAAATATGCGGCTAAATAAGGAGTGAGCGTGCGACTTGAAGGAATGAAATTAAAATTGGCGGCCAAAACTGGTAGCTACACTTATAGCATTGATAAGAATTTTACAGCAAATAATCATTCATTAGTTAGCTAGGCCATATTTTTTGTTTAACTTGGGGTATGATGATGGGTAAAACAAAATAAACAATACACACCAACAAACCACAGCAAGTATGAAAGTGACACTCGATAGTAACAAATTAGCTTTAGGATTACAACCCTATTATTCGGAAGAGATTACTTTACAGAACCAACCAGATTCTTAAAAATATATGGTGGTAGTTTTCCTCTCTAAAACAGTGTTAATAACTTCTTCTATAGTAACACCATGGAATCTAGAATAACAGTTTCATGTCATCACCCGCATACACTCGTACAGCCGTATCAAGTATCATTATTTACGCTAATTGCTAAACGCTCTTTAATTAGAATTTCATAAAATCTAACAAATTCTGTGCTTAAAAGTTGGCAATGAATAATAACCGTCCACCCGTATGATTCTTTAGGAAACTTGAGCTAGAAACTGCTAATCTAGTTTGCTTGGCCTAACCAATACTTAGGCATCTGCACGTGCTTTCATCCTATAGTTTTACTGCTGTAATTTAGCCATCTTTAATCCGAATGACAAAAACTAAAAACGGTCGACTTTTATTTTTAGGCGAAGCTGTAGTAAAAATTTTAGACCGATAGCGCACGTGACTTTTTACGTAAGAGTGCGCAAAAATGTTGGTCAAATTGAGCGGTTTTTGTTGAATAACTTTGCACATGTGGCTTATGTTTAAACCAAATTTGACACCTAATTATAGATTGTAAAGATTAAATAGTGTACCAAACTTGGAAAAAAATCCATAAAAGTTAAGTATGTTTTTCTATAAAATAAAATTTCCATACTTTTGGTGGAAAGAAGAAAAAACAGGAAGAACTTCAATCACAATTGGATATTTTATATGTCGTGTATTCCTAATGGATTACCTTGAAATTTGGTGTGTGAAGTATGGATCCAGTAGAGTACATCCACAAAAAATATGTGATAGTTTGAATTACCATAGTCCGAGATAAAGAAAGTGGAAAATTGCCAAACTACCACTCCTGTTAATAACACACAGTATGTTCTACAGGTTGTTTTGGCCGCACGACACACCACCGTGTGTCTTTAATAATTGGTTGCTTATTGTTATTCGTATAAAATTTGTTATTACACTCTCTAGAGTTAGTCTCATAAGTCATCATGTTTTTATTGATGTCTCTTTATAGCCCCGAAAACAATGACCTTTGGAAAATACTTGCAAGTGTAAATTTTGACAGAATTTGCTTCAATGGGTCTTTATTGTTCAAGATATTTGACATATCAAACAATTTTTAGAAAATTCAAAAACTAAAGGGCCTCTACAATTTTAAACCTCGTTATTTATTTGTTCATATTGTCACGCAATACACGAGAAAATGGAGTTTGGACATGTTGATTGGTCACTGTACTGGAGTTCTCTCTGATTTTTTTAAAAATCAGGTTTAACTCACCGACTCTTAGTTACAAACCATTACAATACACGGCAAAAAAACGAGGTTCTTAAAATCATAGCATACATTTTTAAGAAGCGTGGTTTTCGATCTCTTTTTGTAACGTATAACGTATGCTTGAGAAATCGTGCAAGACAAGAACTGTGATGGTTCGAGAGGACGAAAATCTGATGACTCATCATTCTCACTATTTGTCTAATAATTGTGGGCCTAATTTTACTACGCTTGCTTACTATTACGAGAGTTACGACCTCAAATTACTCATTGTACTGTGCCATTTTATAATATAGTGTGTTTCGGGGAAAACCTCTGAAATACACGTAACGTAATACGAATACTGAATTACAAATATACAAGAAGGAGACTTAATATGTTTTTTCCTTTAAACACGTAGACATCTTCTGAGCTATTTCAATTGAATGCTTGACTTCATGTCGCCACACCCGAAGTAGTTATTTGCTCAGTTCTTTTCAAAACAACGGTTTTGAAAATGCATTGAACGCATGATACTACACTTTTTGTTGTATTGGAGCACCAAATAAAATCCAACTTTAAAGAAAATACACGACAATTACACGTGCAAGTCATACACGACAATTACACGTGCAAGTCATTTTCTTTCTTTCTTTTTTTCAGGCTTTCCCAAGTAGTGTAATGATAAAGCGACGAAGCGGCTAGTTACATCATGTTATTGGAATACAGCGTAATATCCACACAATGAATATGAAATAAAAGGTACCCCGGTGGGTCAGCAATAAGTCGTTGGGCTTATAATGACAAAAATAAGGTTTCGATACCTGCGATGGGCAGAACACGAATAGCCCCTAATGTAGCTTTGCGCTTTACAACAAACAAATAAAAGCTCGGGACACTATAATGAAATGGAAAAATGAAGCAGTTATTTTTATACATTTTTACGAAATACAAAATTTTCCGGGGTATTAATGAATCTAACGTACTATAGTTGATTTTCAGTAAATAATCGGAAGTCTTAAAAAAGGGGAGCATATTACCCACAAGTAGTGGTTCGCCTGGCATGTGATTATTAATTTCAATCTTTAACATGCTTTATATAAACAATTTTGAGACTGTCATGACAAAGATTTCTGATACTCGGGTGTTCAAGCGACTAGTAAAGGCTTCTGAAGAGATATACAGATCTTTTAGTGGGTCAGACATTGAGCGTATAATATTCCATTGAACCGAATAAAATACATCTTCGTTTACAGTTGGACATTCTCTGCCTTGAGGCCCTAATCTAATGGGTCTAAGGAAGTTGGAGCAAAAAATAGCCACTAGCAATATACTGATACTCTCTCCATCATTACTAGACAGATGGGTAAAATAAGCGGTTAGTTTCATTATAACATACAATACTTATCCATGCGCATGATTGCACTGTATTTGTTTAGAGTTGTTAAGAATAATTTCACTTACCAGTTGCTGTTCTTCCAGCGTTAAGATGCGAGAAGTTTTGCAATAATCCCCATAACTCGCTGTTGCCTGCAATAGAAGCTTCCAACAATGATGCCGTCAAAGTCTTGTCACTCTCTGGTGGTAGGCATTTAATAAGGATCTCTTCTAGCAAGTTTTCCATGGCAGCAGTGAGGTAAATTGCGGAATACTCGTGGATGAAAGTTCCTACTCGCACGTCACACATCCATCGATGAAATTTCCCCACAGAAAACTGTAAACCCGCGCGTGCACTTTTACTAAGACGTAAGTGGTCCCCACAAACTGTGTATATGGCAGCGCTCCGGTGACAAGCCTTGATACAACTGTCTGCCAAGGCAGGACTGAGAACCACTTTTAGGGCACCACTAATTTCTTGTTTGCTACACATTCCCAAACTTCTAGAGAATCTCTGGGCTTCACGTGCTACACGCACTAAAGGTCGCTGTAAAAGATAGGCTAATCTTGGCACAGTTTCCATGGAAATATGACTTAAGTACTCTTTCAAGCGTCCATTTTGAATTACTCTCAGAACATCGTGATTAGACCAGGGAAGCTGCTGCAGCTCCACCAAACGACTGTGACTGTCAAGCCATACAAATTCATCAGCACTTGTAATGTTTGTGTTTATAGTCTCAAGACTGGAGTGACGTATAAGCCTTCGAACAGGTTCCGATTCACTTCCACTCATAGAAGAATAAGTGGACGTGGAATAGCTTGTACGAGATCCGTGTGTGCGAACTGAAAGCTGTTCGATAGCATGACGTATGTCTTCTAATCCAGACGCCCCTTCTAAATGAAGTGTCAAGTCCTCTCTGGCCATAGCAACTCTGTGGTTTCTTCGAGATGCTGTAGAACGTCGACCAGATGGTTTATTTAATCCCGAATGGTGAGAACCATGAGTAATCAGCTTTTCGTCCTCTGGAACTGCCTTCAGTGAGGTTTCTCGTGCTGTCAAGGTTTTATTGTCACTTCTGTGTAGATGATCTGTTTGGCAATCATCATTTCCATGGAGATCATGCCTATCTATATCAACGTGATTTCTCATCATGGATCCTTCAGTGGGTGATGAACTCACATGAGACGATTGGCCGTCGCTCATACTAGCATGTCCAGATGACCTGAAAACAGAATAGGAAACATATACCCAAATAAGAAACGAAATACGAAATTAAAGTTCTGGTTAGTCTCAATAAACAGAAATAAAGGGTTAAACAAAGCATGATGTAATAACAACGAATACAAGTTTTAACTTGCACATTTTTCAAACATGTAATCATTTATCTATCAGTTTTTGAAATAACTCTTCTGTTTATTATGGAATTACAAATATATTACACTCAGCTAACTTCTCACCTATTTTCATCACTAGATGATCCTCCATAAAATTCTTGACGTCTTTGCAAAACCTTAGAATCGTCTACACTAAACATATTTGGAAAGCTTAGAATATTCCGTCGCCGGGACTTTAGTCTTGTGGGTGGTCGTCGTCGACAAATCACGGGATCTCCATCCGAAGAGCTTTTACTAAGGGATCCACAGTCTGTGTTTGAAGCTGAATCTATGTAAGGTGACATATGTCCATCAGGAGGAATTCCTTCATCTTCTTCTTCAATGCGGTGGCTTTCCCATAAACAATGGGCTGACAGAGGTCTCGTTTCATTCGGTTTTTCATAAAATAATTGCGACACAACAGCTTCGTTTCCTAGATTTTTTACATTCGTGTTTATTCTAGAACCTAGTAACTCAGTCGCTAAATGTTTTGTCAAACCTGGTAACTTAGGACTTTGAGATTCAACAGTAAGCGACTTAGAACCAGGTGAAGACCTTGAAGCTTGTGGATCCGAAGAAAGTAACTTAGCAGAAGGAGAGATTCTGGTACTCTGAGGTTCCGTAGCTACACCTTTCGTAGCAGGAGAAATTCGTGAGCTTTGGATGACCAGACCTGGAGAACTTGTTGTATGAGGAAGTATCTCCGTGTTGGTTCTACCATTAACTCCCAAAGAGGAGAAATTAGAAGAACTGTGAGATCCAGTCATATCCTTTGTCGATACCCGCGGTGGTTGGGATCCACCAGTTGGAGTATCTCTAGAACATGAAGGTACAGGTGATATTTTCTCCCTACCAGCAGGAGAACGATGCGTAGGAGTATTAACACTTGAATGGTTTCCTGAGATAGAGGTTTTGGTCTGGGCCAATGGAATGCTCGGACTGGTAATATGCTCCTTACTGGTACTTCTACCACTTTCACAAGTTGGTACACTTGTCTCTTTGTTAAATTTGGTCAATACGGGGGCAGATCCTCCAACCAACTCTCTATTAAACGATTTTAATGGCGTTCCTGCAAATAACCCTTCACGACTAGAGCTCCTGCAGATAGCGCTATTCTGTTGATTCATGTCTCCCAAGCGACGTGGTTTAGGCCGAATAATCTCGACACTGTTACTCAAGAGAGGCTGCCAGTACTGGTCAGCATCCCGGAATTCAGGCACAGGAGGCACAGATGACATCATCACACCGATGACCAAGCATCGGCTGGCTCCGGCCAATGGTCAATACAACACCCCTGTAGTATCATAAATAAAGAAAAAATAATAATTTATACACAAGCATTTTACTGCACTTTTAATTTCTTAAAAGTACATTAATAATATTTTTATGCATTTTAAATAATGCGTTAATTTCCTATACAATGCAAAACACACAGGTATGAAAGAAAACAAGAATGGTCAACTCTTTCTTAAACAAAAACACATAAATCATCCATGGATAATATCACAACTTTATTAACAGAATACTTACGAACCTTTTTATGGCGATAAACTACACTTGAATCAGGACCTCATGGTAAATAATACAAGGCACGTAATGACAAATAATTACTATTCGTAGCATGTAGTAAGACTGAAGAGTCCCATAAAAAAATTAAAAAGATTATAACTGGGGTAGCAACACTATACCGGAATGTTAAGCACTAAAGCGACGTACTAGTTTCTACTACCCCTTTATTTGGCGAGCTTCAGGTAATAGCAAAAGTCATATTGGGTCAGCGTACGCTGCTGTAGAAAAGTTTTGTGCCTATAGCAACATACCTGGCTCGGCCTGCACACGAATCTCTTCACCGCTAGGTCGAGCACATATTATTGGCGTTCCTTTCAACTTTCATAGCCTACAGGCCACAGTGCTATTTATCTTTCTGGTCATGTTAGGCCCCGTCCGGCTTTCCTACAACTGATAGCAACACGTCTAAAAGGAATAATTCACTAATAAAAAACTATTTTTTCATTAAATGTTATTAACTAAAATTTTGTTGTTCTTTAAGCTAGCCAGTTAGTGCTTTAATTTGTTTTTTTAACCGGTGGGAGGTCAACGACATTCACTTCTGGGCAATAATGACCCTTTATAAAACTAAGGTTCCCCAGTAAAAACATCATGATTATTGTACTCCGAAATAATAATAATAAATCCCGAAATTCCACGAATATAAACACGGACTTCCTCTTC